TCACTTATTAAGGTAACATGTACCCTATCATGCAGGTAACACACAACTTAACCCACCCTTGAGTTCCTAGGATGATGTAGATAGTTTAACTAATTCACTCATCCCTCCCTCCATCCATCCATCCACCCACCCACCCACTCATCCATCCATCCATCCATCCATTCATCCATCCATCCACTCTTATTAAGATAACATGTACCCTATTATGCAGGTAATACACAACTTAACCTACCCCTGAGTTCCTAGGATGATGTAGATAGTTTAACTAATTCACTCATCCCTCCCTCCCTCCCTCCCTCCATCCATCCACTTATTAAGATAACATGTACCCTATCATGCAGGTAACACACAACTTAACCTACCCCTGAGTTCCCAGGAGTGATGTAGATAGGCTGTCTCTCAACCATCTCATGGTTTGCCTCTATACCAAATATTATTGCAATGGCCCATAGCGGCAGGAACCACCTTATTATCTATTATTAAAGGATGTTTGATAATTTATTAGTGTTAACATGGGCTATGGTTGCCATGGTAATATCTATATGCATTGATGACTGCATTCGGCTGTCATTGACAACAACAGCACCACCATTAATGATGACAGCAAACAACAATGACAACAGCCACAATCTAGCTGAGCGGTGAATTGTTTCTAGCCAATCACAGCAGGTTTAGCTGTTTTGAAGTCGGCCCTCCCAAGCTACTGTAACCCAACTTTTGCATATATTTCTGTTTTCTTTTGACTAAAATATAATATATGTGCCTACAGGTAGAAGAAATATGAAAAGGAAGAACAAAGATGATCACACTTAACCGCCATGTTTGCTTCGTTCTTTCAAGCTTCGAAAATGCTTAGGGTCGGTCATTTTGTCCACTCATGCTCTGCGCACCACGTTCACTGTTCAAATATGACAATGACAACAACCACAACCACAATTACAACAACCACAATGACAATGACAGCAACAACGACAATAACTAGAAGAAACCATGAATATAACAATGTTATCCTAATAAAATCAGATCATAACTTCATACCTTAACAGTGATATAAACAGCTGTATATCCAGCTGCTGTATTCAGCTAAGATGAAAAGAAAATGAGAGTGTTCAGTAATGCTGATGCAGAATCAAATATATGTAGGCTATTCCAAAGTAACAGCCATGCCTGGGGGGGGGGGGGTACGTTGATGGTGTACAGCTGATAAAACTGATTAAACATAACTTTTGTTTCAATCAGCGTGTAGTAATGAAGACAGTGATAATAAATTGTGGATGAAGCTATAAATAATTGTGGATGATGCTTCAAGGGAAGAAATGAAAGTCATTAGTGTAAATGCAGTGCTCAACACCAGTAAATCTTTGCCCCACCAAAACTCAATTTTTCGTTTGTAATGAAGGTGAGTTGGTCCCGTGTTATTGGGAGTCACAGTAATGGCTAAATACAAGATCCAAGTGGACTAGATGTATATATTATTACATTGTGTTGAGATACTTACAAACACTCCTTGACAAGAATTACTTGGACCAGCTGTTTGAAATCAAAGGAAATAATATTATTACCTAATTAAAAAATAACAAATATTTCTGTTTGTCGCTGTGCTCATGGGTTAGATTCCTGGATCCAACATCACATGTGAATAGAGTTCCTTTAAGTTGGTTCTTGCCTGTGCTTCAAGGGTTTTCTCCAGGTTCTCTGGCTTTCCTCCCTTGGCAAAAGACTTCAATTCAATCTGATGTCGAAAGCTTACCAATACTATTATCACATTTATAATTAATTATACTTACTGATCCTCATCACAATATCATGTATTAGACTTGCCATGGCAGATATCTCAAACACAAAGATAATCCTAGCATCAACAAACAATGAAATAATGGGTAAGGATTTGATGCATATATACATGAGGGTAGGGTGGCCCTGGTACTAGCAACAAGTTGTCCATCAATTTTGGGTGCTCTTTGTCAGTTGCTTAAGCATTTGAGAAGCTAGAGTCACATGAGGCTTAGCTTTGTTGTTCTGTTTAGCAACATCCCACATGCACCTAAAACTCAATGGAAGCGCACTAGTCAATGACTAATGTTTTCATAATAGTTAAAATTAACAATGGTGTTGCCATTAATACATACCCCCACAAGTCTCTCTTTTGAGAAGCTCTGTTATTTTCTTGCATTCGCACTACATTGAGCTCTCTGAAGAGGAATGGAATTTATTAATAAATTCTATGATTATCATTACAAAGTTTATTTATATGTTTTGACTTGTTTTGAAATGCAAAAAAAAACAATAATCCATTTATCATATGACCCGTATCTGCCCGCCCGCGCGCGCTCTTAAAAAAAACTTTTGGGAAAATGGTGTGGGTCGTACGGCTTTGAGCGAGCCGGGCTGTACAAATCTGTACGGCCCTGCTCGAATCCGTGCGCTTTCTCTTTTTTAGCTTTTATTTACTATTTCTTTCTTTCTTTTATTTTCTTTTATTTTCTTTTTCATGAGGGTCATATGATAAAATGCTTATTGACTGAGTTAGGTTGGCTCGAGGTGATGCCGTACGAACCAAGATCCTGTACGGCCTTCCCACTCAGTCAATAAGTACATACAGTATTCATTAGTTTCAAGATACTATTGTCATCATTATCATCTCCATCAATTATCATCTTTGTCATCATCATCATTGCTTTCATCATCACTATCATCATCATCATCCTTGCTGTCATCATTATCATCAACATCATCATCACTGTCATCGCTGTCATCATCATCATCATCATCATCGTTGTTGTCATTGTCATCATCATCTTAAGAAATTCAAGCCTTTCTCAATTGATCTTACCTAGAAATACAAATGCCAGCGACAAGGAAAAATTGAACAATGAAGAATTCCGCAGAAGAAAGGAGCAACCATTCTGGCTCTGAATAACAAAAACGAAGACATTCTACTAGGTGAGGGCCAACTGCATGATACATTCATGAACATAATAAGATAAGAGGGTAGCATGGGTAGTGTACGCTATGAACACAGTGTCTTTCACTACTGTGGATCGAAAGGTTTGTGTCACTGGTTTGAGCCCTGCAGACACCATATATGAATTGAAATAGAGAATAAGAGAAAATATCAAATGTCCTTGGTGGGAATTGAACCCATGTCTTCAGTATTCTAGTCCAATGTGTTAACCACTACAATACAAGGACCAACCACGCCGGTAACGCAGCTGGAATATGAAATGTAGGGTACTTGTGAGGATCCTGCCAAGGGCATTTGATATTTTTCTCTTATTCTCTATTTCATTACACACACCAAACACATAATTTATTACTACTATATATGAATTGAGTTTGTTTGATGTGTTGTTCTCTCCTATGCTATGAGGGTTTTCTCTGGGTCTTCTAGGTTCCTCCCTCCGTAAAAATCAACATATGAGTTGAGTTGTTGTGTGCATGAATAATGAGTGTAATGGTAGTGTGTATGAGTGAAAAAGCGTCAACAATTAGTGCGGAAGAGCTAAGAGTGACTAGACATTGAAAAAAAGAGATCGATTTATAAGTGTAGGCGGAAATAAAAACAACTTTGAACAATGGTATTCCTTACCTTTACATTCATTAAATTCAGATTTCATGGTTGCCAAGCCAACGATAACAGTAACCAACATATACATCAATAGCACAAACATAATGGGAATATTAAATCTGCAAATAACAATAATAATAATAATATTATTATTCAATTAAAAATATAAATTATATACTAGCCAACTAAAAAATCTAGTGCATACTATATATCTGAGAAAATGTTTAATGACAAAATTGTACAAATTACTACAACGATTTGTAGGTCTAAAGGCCAGTTTAGATGGTATGATTTTCACCTACAACTATTATATACAACATGCTCGCGTCTGTTGTTGGCGAATTGTAGGCTTGATTTACACGCTGCGACTCGATTTGTAGAATGGCACAAGCATGTTGTATATGATAGTTTGTAATCGTACCGTCTACAGTAAACTGGATTTCAGGTCTACTGATGTCTGCTAATCTTACTAATTTGTACAAGTTTGTGCAATTTCTTACAATTTTTTTCATGGCATAATGGTATGCACTCTAATTGGGAACATTGCATCAAAGATAATCAACAAGTGCTGACGTAGGATCAAGATATCAAGTCAAACCAACCAAACATTAGATTAGAGTGTGTCAGATTCTATTCTATTCAACATGGACTTGTACTTAGGCCAAAAAAAAAAAGTGTGTTTCCTGTTGCGCGACCGACCCTAATTTTCTTGCTGACCCTAATATTTTTTTCATTCCCAAATGTGCCACAGGGTTCCCAGTAAGCCCATTTCCACTGTTGTATCAGTATAAAAATCAAATAAAAAATCCGACCCCAATTATTTTCCTCGTGCAACAGGAAACACACTTATTTTTTTGTTTGGCCTTTGTCTGTGCAAACTGGCCTTAGTAACAGCTACAAGCATGAACTTACAGTTTAAATGTTTCTTCTCGTCTCGTCATACGAGCAGCAAGCAAACAATGAAAGTGTGTGACTGTCAGAATCTGTGTCAATGAAAATTTTCATAAGTTAAGTGTGAAACAGCTGAAGGGCCAATAAGATGTGGGCTTGAGTAAGAATATACAACAAATATATACCTGACAGGATGTTTTGAGGAACTGCGTCACTAGAAGTACTGGGGTTTTGGCCAGGTAGAGCCAGTTAAGACCACTATTATTAAAAAATGAAAATCCATAGTATGAAGATCATAGTCATCATGATGATTATGATTATTATCACCACAATCATTACCAATAACCATCATCATCATCAACTATGATCATCATCTTTATATATCCTCATCATTTATATCATAATCACTGTCATTATCATCATCATCACCACCATCAAAGATCATCATCATCATCATCATCATCACCATCATCATCATCATCATGAATATTATTATCATTGTCAACCTTAAATTTCACCATCTGCACCACCAACATTATGGCTTTTTCCTCACCAACAACAGCAACAACAAGTTTATTACCATCAATAAGTTTATAAACTATGTAAATTGCAACTAGAGAATGATAAAAGCTACTCCTCATCATCATTACTAGATTAGATATTAGCTGAATAAGGCCTAGGGCAAACGTCAAACTTTCCATGCACCGAACTTAATTACATCAAAGAATGCCGCCCCATTATCACCTGATATCCATTGTTTTTAATGAGTTCGGTGCATGGAAAGTCCGACGTTTGCCCTAGGCCTAACATTCAGTATAAGAGCACCAACAGTTTGATATCTTACCATAAGATACAATTGACAATCCCACTATAGTATATGATATATTGATTTGGTAACGAATGATGATGTCTGTGAAGTTTAACGACCTGAACAAATAAGAAGGTGGGAGAAACGATTTGGTAAACCAGGTTTAAAACATACTGTAAAAGGTATCGATTAGGAATTTTTTGAATCTAAAGTTCTATTTACCTTGAATATGCATATCAAACAAGTAAAAAAGGCAAGACAAGTTAGAGTTGAGTCCCTGTAAAGATAAAAAAGATTGAAATATTTATCACATTGAATACAACTGGACTGATTTTCTGCTTGCTTGGATTTTGATAGCTAATTATTATATATCATGGTTAATAAATGAAAGATAACTAGCTGACAAGAGAAAGAGTCTGAATGCTTAACATTTAGGCAGGCAGGTGAATATGTTAATAAACCATTACCAATGACAACATACCGAACACAGGACATGGTGTTAAATGTTCCAAAGCATCCAGTATAGGCATAGGAATGCCACAAAGCATCACTAATGTTTGTTGGAGCCACCATTTCGATGTCGCTAGTAGCTGCTTAACCTGCAAGTAAAGTTTCAAATAAGAATCTAGATTCATGGTTAGTGTTTGTTATGAATGTCATGGAAACAAGGTTTATGTTCAACAAGACTGATCCAGTAGAGGCTTTGAATCAACTGTAATCTCAGGGGCGGTGGAACCAGGGGGGGGGGGGGCATGTGCCCCCCCCCCATGAAATTTTTTTGGGGGGCCTGTCCCCCCCACAAGAGACCCCACTTAAAGTTGTCATCTAAACCACTTGAAATTCTATATTTTTTGGATGTAATTACAAAGGTTGCATTTTCTTCTCTGTCATTTTGAAATCCTAATTTCCTGTTGGTATTTGTGAATATTTAGATACTAATATTCGAGGCTAGCCCTGGGTTAATGAATCTGTATATTTTTCTTGGTGCTACACTGATTAATATTCTACAATAAGCAATATACTGTAAGGTATCCCAAGTTCGTTAATATTAATGCTTAGTTCAATAATAGAGATAACATAACCATACATTAAATATGTATATACATATACAAGCTTAATTATGCAAAACACTGCCTCTACCAAAAATCACTTGATGAATGAAAAAATAATAATTCGTTTAAAAATCAAAAAAATTAGAGCAAATGAAAACAAATTGCTATCATATATTAGTTGAAATAAACAGTTATTGTAAAATGAATGCAATTTTTAGTACAAAAGCATTTGAAAACAACAGAATTGCTTGAACATTCAGATTATAACACGTGTGTTATAAGACTGAAAACTGCATATCATAAAAAGGTATTTCGTATTTGACAATAGGTGAGTTAACATAGGTGTTGTTATTGTGGACTCTGCATATTTTGAAGCTTTTATCGCGTTATAACTGGAATGGATGCAGGTATTCTCAAAGACGGAAGGGAAGACAGAAGATGAACTTAGGGAAAGGAAACGCTGACTCGACAAGGTTTACGACATTCGTATTCACTTTTTGATACTTTAAAACTTCATAAGGTTACTCAAAAGCGTTTTAACAAAGCTAACTTACCTTATCTTGAGAGATTCTTATTTATAAACATCGAAAATGAAAGAGAAAATTCGTCACATTTTATTTGAGTGTCGAACTCTGCTACTGACTCACGCCTACACTTACGCCTTTACCACCCAGCGTTTATACTCACGGGGGAGGGGTAGGTATCAACTTATTCGACTCTCTTTCAATCTATTATAAAGTCTCAAACCTTTCTTTTAAAAGTCATTTATGATTTCGATATAACTGAAAAATTACAATCATTGAAGTCTTACAGTTAATATTTCATTTTAGAATATATTAACGTTGATCAAGTTATTTTATTTTCACCCACCCTCCCACAGTAGTGGAATTATGTAAGATATTTGCCAGGCTGCTCAGCTGAATAACAAAAACAAAATGGCGGAATAAGTGAAGGAAAATTAGCATTGGATGAAAACTAGAAAAACAGTCACCAAAGAACGAAGAACGACGTGTGAAGTTTATCTAAACTTGAGGGTAATTACAAATAGTTTTCTTTTTTTAGTTTTATAGTGGTAAATTGGTTTTTGGTGTTTAGTTTCGAGCCCCATTCAAGCTGCAACAACGCGGTTTGATGAAACGATCAGTCTGCTCTAAAACGTATTATAAATGTATTTATGCAAAGTATAGTCAACACGAAATGTAAAGGACATTCATCTCGTTCTTTACATTGCTGGAATCGCATAAAAATACTTCAACAATTTAAGAGCGTTAACAGCAACAGCATAAAGTAAATATTTCCTAAGGACCGTGAGAAAGTGCTAGTGGATTTAGAAGACTACGAATTAAGTTTCCCGCTCTGTCACGGGCATAACACTCAACTTTGAGTTAAACTTTTGTGAACTATTTTCTTTCAAAAAATTGTTTCTTGCATGCACTACATGCTGCAAATTCTTGTCTTTAACAAATTATGAACTAAAATCTCGTGGGAGAAGGTCCTTCCCATTTCACGATGCAATTTTCGTATGTGCATTTAGTAGCTTATAAATTGAGTAACAGGGGAAACGATTGATTAAAATCGTTGATGCAGTTCATTCCTCTGTTTTTTCAAAGTTACTTCAGAAATTTAGGAATGAGTAAAACATTGTGGCCAACAAGAATCGTATACAATTTTTTCCGATGATAAAGCATACGGCATTGCCTTTATTCATGTGGTGGCTCCTAAAAGAGCCGTTCAATTTTTGTTAGTAGTGTTTGAACACTTTATTTCTTGGATGGTTTGACTGCTTTCTTGGCTGCAGATTTAGTTGCTTTCTTGACAGGTTTCTTCACTGTTTTATTAGCTGCTTTCTTCGCTGGTTTTGGTTTAGTTATGGGTGTAGTATCCATAGCAACTAATCATGTATGATAATTAGCTAAGTTGTGAATAATAAATAGTTGATCTAGATATGGCGTC